CCCCAAAACCCCAAAACCCCAAAACCCCAAAACCCCAAAACCCCTGGGAGAAAATATTTTAATGAAAACAGCTGTTAATTGATATAAACTTATCTTCTGCCTCTTCCTCGCATACCTCTTCCTCTCATGCCACCACGGCCTCCTCTGCCTAGCATATTCATCATTCCTTCCATGCCTTCCATGCCTTCCATACCTTCCATTCCTTCCATATTTCCAAGGCCCTTCATCATGTTCATCAAATTTCCTGCTCCTCCTAGTTGCTTGAGCATTCTAGGATCTACAGCACCAGACAAATTCTGCATCATTTTCTTTGGATCTCTCTGCATTTCGGCCATTGCTTTAGGATCCTGCATGTTCGACATCTTTCCAACCATTTTTGAAAATCTCTTGTATTCTTCGATCAGCTGAGAAACCTCAGAAATTGAAGTTCCAGAGCCTCTAGCAATTCTTCTAATCCTGCTGGGGTTTAGAGGTTTGAGACTATCAAGCTCAGCCTCAGTCATAGAATCCATCATGTACAGGAATTTCTTGATTCTTGCAGATGCTTCCTTCTCTTTTCCCTTTGGAATCATATTTGAATTCATTCCAGGGATCATTGACATTACTGTTCCGAGAGAACCCATATTTAAAACGCTTTGGAATTGATCCTTCATATTTCTGAGTGTGAACTTTCCTTCTTTGAGAGTCTTAGCGAGCTCAGTCTGCTTCTCTTTAGGTATAGCATCAGACACTGTTTTAAACAAGCTTGAAATATCACCTAGTCCGAGCAATCTTTTAATGAAACTCTTAGGCTCAAATGGCTCCAGATCATCGAAAGTTTCTCCAACACCGAGGAATATAATAGGACTGTCTGTAGCTGCAACTGCACTAAGAGCACCACCTCCTTTAGCATGACCATCGAGTTTTGTAATAATGACAGATCCTACATTAACAGCACTTCTGAAAGCAAGGGCTTGGTCATAACAAGCTTGACCAATAGATCCGTCCATAACAAAGACATTTTCTTCTGGATCGATAGCTTCATTAATTTCTTTCATTTCCTCGAACAGTTTGTCTTCCTGCATGTGTCTACCTGAGGTATCAACAATGATAATCTCATATTTTTCTTGCTTAAAAATTTCAACTCCTTCAGAAGCAATTGTCACTGGATTTTTCTCCTTTGGATTACCGTAGAAAGCACACCTAATCTTAGCAGCATTCTGCTGGAGCTGGTCAAAGGCACCAGCTCTCCAGGTGTCACAACAGACGAGAGCTACTTTCCATCCCTTACGGATATAATGATAGGCAAACTTAGTTGTGGTGGTTGTTTTTCCTGCTCCTTGAAGCCCAACAAACATGACCACTTGACTTTTTCCTCTCTTAAATTCATAAGGAGTTTTCTCTGTGTTTAGGATATTAGTAAGCTCCTCTACCACAGTCTGTCGAATTATTTTATTTCATGTTGGTATACTTTCCTTCTTTCTTCATGAAAAGGGTTACTTGGGTTCTCACGCTAGTAGTCAACCTAGCAACATGCTCAAATTTGACATCTGCTGAAAGCAGAGCCATTGTAATCTCATTCAAAACTTCGGTTAAGAAGACATCATCAATCTTCGATGCTGAGGTAATCTTCTTTAATGTTTGCGATAGCTTGGATCCTAAATCTGCTAAGACCATTTTTATTATTTAATATTTCAACTTCCTCTCAATTTGAGGGGTTTTGGGGTTTTGGGGTTTTGGGGTTTTGGGG